CCCATTGCCAGATGATCCCGCCGACATCCCAGACCGCATCCGTCTAGCTCCGTGCCTTTCCCATGGCGGCCAGGACCTTCCTCGACCAGCAGGTGCTCAAGCGGGGAGCGGGAGTTTCCGCCTCCTTGACGGACACAGCAGAAAGGCACGGGGCGGCGAGCCACAGATGGCAGGGTGGGCCACGGGGGGCCGGCGGCGGGGCTGCCCTTACTTTCACGTTTCTTCATAATCCACAGGATAATTTCCTTGAACTTTTCAAAATTTTTCTTCAACCTGAAAGGAACGTGAGTTATCTTTAAAAGCTGAGGCTGAATTCGTGTTCACCTGTCACGCCACACAGTGTAGACTGTGTTAGACCCTGCCCAGCCTCTTTCCTAGGTTGGAAGGTGGGCTGACGGCTCACTCGGTCCCAGCTTTTCTTCTAGTTAGCACTCAGGAATAGAGGGACAGCACATGGCATTGCTCAGTGCTTCCCTCCTGGCCTCTAACTGGCCTTCAGCCTGGGCACCAACTAGGCTGACCCCAAATCTTTTAAAATAAATTCAATGACAGACAGGACTAGCAGGTCCAAGTGCAAGGCTGGTTCTATGAGCTAAGCTCACAAAGCTTGATTTTTCTGTGACTTGTAAGTAAGTACCCCAGTGAGAGTGACATTTGGAAATCGCTCGGACTGGATGGAGCTGCTTGAAACCTGTTGGCATTTGGTAGGAAAGTTTCCAATGATCTCACTCAACAGGACACCGTGAAAACCACCCAAAGGTGCAGCTTTTCAAAATAACCGAGCCCTTAAGCCCTTGTCACGTCAGTGCGCAGAGTGAGCCATGCTGGCATTTCGGAGGCTCGGACGGCTGAACGTCCACATGAAGGTGCCCTCCAGGGGTGGCCGTGTTTCCTGGGACTCAGATCAGAGAGAATGTGCCAGAAGGAGGGAGCGGCCCAGGCTTCGTTATGAGAAAGGCCTTTGAAATGACAGGCTTTACGTTCCCAGTTCAGATTCCTCGAAGAGAGCATGACCATTTAACCCCAAGCAGCCCTAGGGAGCAAATCCCCGTCCCCGGAAAGGGCTGGACATTTTCACCTGGCAGAGCGGGGGTGACTGTTCTACCCTAGAAGCAAAGGCTTCTAAGGACGTGAGAACGACCTCTTCAGGGCCCATTTGCACCACACGTTATTTGTCTTAGTGACCAGCACTTCGAGTGGAGGGGAAGCAGTGACCTAGCCCTCCGTCATCTGCGGAGGCGTGAGGACCGAGAGTGGGGGAGGCGAGGCCAGGAGTGGGGTGCCAGATACGTGCACGAGTTAAAACCCCGCTGAGGGCACCAGCCAGAGGCACTTGAGCTTTCTCCCTCGGCCCTTTGCCCACCTTTGCTAGCGGAACCAGCCAGCTCCTCGGTGGCAGAAACTGTGGAGTACGCACTGCTGTAAGATCGGCACACAGTAGGTCAGCACAAAGTAGGGGCTCAGGGAATGTTTGTTGTGTGCAATCAGGTTAGAATGAGCCTCGGTTATGGGCTCAAATGGGAAGGAATGGGGCAGGGGCAATGTCATGGGGGAGGCAGAATGACCTGGGGTGTTATTTGGCATTTGTTTTTTGCAGTTATATAAGGATCTGCAAGCTTGGGTGTTCTTTGTGTTTGGCATTGTGTATTTTGCCTTCCCCTTTCCTAGAGAAGCCTCGGGGGTCACTGGCCCCAGGATGCTACTGAGCCCACAGTGGAAGTTGCTGGCAGTCAGTCTGTCTTCTTGATTTTGGGGGAAAGCCTCAACTCACCGAGGAGGTTGTGCAGGGCACCCCATCCCCCACAGCCCGTTCCCCTGTGCCCCTGCCAGAGAGTTTGCAGTAAATCCATGGGGGGCCTGAAAGCCACCTTGCTCACCAAGGTTTCTGACAGCTGGATGAATGAAAATCTAGGCTTCCATGCACGACACACAGGCTGGATGTACAAATGGAGTTCTGGAATATTCTGTGACCTGGGGTCATGCCAACTAGAAAGGTGTGGTGCCAGCCACCGTCTGCAGTAACCTTATCATTCCCCACTCCACATAGGGGTTCTGGCTGTGAGTCCCAGGTCAGCAAAGCTCAGGGCTCCCCGTCCAGCGAACATGGGAAAGCACTAGCTCGGCCTGGGATGTAGCTAGGGGGTTTCTTGGGCAGATGCCCAGGACCTTGATTTCCCACACTCCCCTCTCTTCAAAGGACCAGGCGTCTGGCCTTGCTCCCCATGCTTTTGTACAAGTTCGTGGTCCCTTCGAGACAGTTCCTGCCCTGGGTTTCCAACCTCTGTCCCTGCTCCCCTTCATCCTGTCCCGGACCTCCCATGCTCGGAGGTCTCTCCTTGCTCTTGAGTTTCGGCAGCCAGATTATTCTGTCCCCTGCCCCGCATCTTACCGTCGCCCTGTGCTTGGCTTGTACCTGCTCTTTGACTCAGGGGACCTGCCTGGCCCTGGCCTGGCTCTTTCCTCTGCTGCCACCTCTGGCCTACTTGACCCCCCTGACCAGTGCCTCCATCTCGCCCGTCACTTACAGGATCCCCAGTTTCCTCCTGGTCTCACCCTCCAGGGGGCTGCTCAGGGGAATGTCGATATCCTCCTCCTGTTCATTGCGAGCAGTCAGTTCTTTGATCATGGTTTTGAACACTGCCTGATAGGAGAAGCTCTTCAAAAACTGCGACAAACAAACACACACAGCACAGAATAAGACATCCAGAAAACGGGAATTAGCGCTTCACTGATTAATCACTTTTCCGACAGATGAGATTTCAACAGATGATTCAAAAAGCACAAAGGCGGGAACGGGAGGGCGGCTCACGAGACGTGTTTTCAAGAGTATTTCCGTTGTCGTCAGACCGCTCGATTCCCTCCCCGACTCCCTCGAGACTTTTTTCTAATAGTAGCATACCAAGAAATCTTCCGAGAGCATGCAGTGCCTTCTTCTCCCAAATGCGGAGATGGCTCCGTGAAGTAAAAACGCTCCTGTGCGTGAAGAGCTCTCTGAGCTCCGGGGAGGGTCCCGTGCCCAGCAGTGGCTTATGCGTTCGGTGCACAGGATGACATCTTCGAGGCGGTGGTGTGGCCTCTAGCACACGATCGCCGTGGACGAGTCTGTGTTTAAACATTCTGCCGAAGCAATGACACTGCGAGCTGCCTTTTTTAAAATTTTTTTCCATTTTGTCACATTGATCCCACGGCCATGACACTAAGCAGGACTGACCCGCAGGTGGGTCCCTCTTAAGCGTTTCTCTTTTGAGTCCCTTCAGAGGGAAAGCGATGGTGGCTTGCTGCCGGGGGAAGCCGTGGGTCCGGTGTGCTGCCCTGCTGACCTTCGACCCTCGACACCTGACAGCATGTGGCATGCCATCGACTTATTAGGCTCCCGTAGTGTGTAGGAGATCAGCATACCCTGAGGTGCTGTGACCTGGGACAGGTCTAAGGGCGAAGCTTGTGGTTGGCCAGATTTTCTAGGTGATGAGGATGAGAACTTGTACAGAGGCCATTAAACTGAGGTGGCCCTAAGGTCCTGATGGCCCGTAAAGCAAACCAAAATCCAAGCCTCATTATGAAATCGAAACCTGAGGACAGCCAGCCCTAAGCAGCCAGATCGTTTTAAGCTCTGGCCGATCCATAATTCCCTCACTTTGCTTCTGCCTTGTCTGTGAGAGCGTCTCCCGAGCTCCTGTGGGTGCACTTTTAACCTCTTCCGGTTTGGTGGTGGCAAGTTCCAATGGTGCCAGCTCAACTAAACTCTTCAAATGTGTCCCAGGCCTCAGTTTATCTTTTTCACACTGGAGTCAGTGCTTCGGACCGGGTCTAGGCTAAGGCCTGTGCTGTCCCCCCTCCCCAGGGACGGAGCGACTGCCTGGTTGCCTAGGCCCATGACCCCTCACCATCCTCTTTGGACTCTGTATTTTGTCTCCCAGGAACTACAGTGACCACCGTAGTCCACCAGACAGCAGACCTGCCGGATGGGCCTAAGCGAAGTTCCCGTCCCACGTGATCACCCAGCATGTGTGACATCTCGTGAGCTTTGTCCCATTTGCCTCCCTATCGGCCTATAGAACTATCTTCATGGACATGGTGGGGCCCTGGGACCCCAGGTGTCAGTTCTCCCAAGACCCATCCTGGGTGGCTCTGGTCCTCGTAACCAAAAGAGGTGGCTTAGCAGGGTTTGTGATGCCTGGGAGTGTCACAGGAATAACAAGCCTGTGTAGACAGCGAAGGGGCCGAGCTGTCACCGCGAGCACGGGCCTGGCTGGCCGCGTGGGAGGGCGTCTCTGGCTCCCCATCTCCAGCTTGCGCCCCAGCGGTCTCTGGCATTCCTTCGAAAGGGGCCTCGAAAGTCTTTCAGGTGTCCTGTGGCATTCTCTCCATTCTTCTTGCCCTGGTCTGGCCCCACTCGACTGCCTCCTCTGCCTACGACATTGCCCGGCGAAGAGCTGCTTCGCGCAGCTCTCCAGCGGCTCGTCACGAGAATGCAATTATCGGGGCCACGGGCACTGCTCGGGACCCTCCTAAGCTTCCGATCCTTACGGACAGAGTGGACTAGTCAGCAGGGGCGTCGCGTCCCCCCAGCTCTGTGCCATACTTTGTCACCTGGGCAAAGCCTCTGAGATGCAAGGAGCTCGTGACGAGAGGTCACCTGGGAAGCCCTCCTGGCACATGGGACCTCACGATGTGCCGTGCTCATACAGAACCTTGCACAGTGACTTGGGAGACATCACACCCCTGCCTGCGACCGCAGCTCCGCCCGGTACGGCAGTTGGCAGGTGTAACGGTAATGCTGAGGTTTCCGAACGACTCAAGTTTGTGGTCAAAAAGTTCCTTTAGGTTTCAACTCTTGCTGAAAAATCTTCCTATAAGACCCGAGTTTACTCTCCTGTCTCAGTAAATCCAGTGCAGTGATTCCAAGCCCAAGCAACCTTTTCTCCCTTCCACGTGGCAGTTGAGTATTTGAAAAGCAATTCCGATTAATATAAAGTGTACAGAGCGAGTCTGGAAAGTAAGGCTCTTAGAGCTCAATCTGAACCAAGACCAGAAAATTTCCTAATTAAAAACAAAACAAAACAAAACAAAATACCTAGCTGTTTTTTTTCCCCCCCTGCCTATTCTTTTGTACGTTTAGAAAAGTAGATCAGCTTGAGTCTGAGTTCATGCCTGTGGTTGGAATGACCCCTTCCACCCCAGCCGTAGGGGCGAGGATGCAGATTAACGCTTCCGCTGGAATCAACACGTGTCGTGTGTCTTAGAGGTTTGACACAGGAGATCGGAGCCGCCGGGCTGTCCCAGCAGGGGCGAATTCACGCAGCAAAGACCACACATCACACCGTCCGTGCCAGGCTGGTTCAAACCATCCCGACTCCCCATCGCAGCTCTGCTCGCTGGGTGCAGCCATGACGTGGACGCCACTTGGATCTCGGGGGCTGGTCCTTGCCCTCCGTGGGCTGGCACGAGCAGGGCCGCAGAGCCTGGGGAGTTCGCCCGAGCTGCGGAGCCTGCCGTCCAAAGCGTCTGCCTCGCCAGGCTGCCCTGCGCCTGGGCCTTCGCTCAGAGACGGACTTTCCTTGGGGCTTTCGTTGTCTGCGCTGCTGGGGTTTCTGGGTTGTTGGGGTTTCTGGGTTGCTGTTTTTTCTCACACCCAGTCGGGATACACAAGGCAAAAAGGAACCCCAGGAAACTTGTTGCCACGTTGTTCCTTGGGTCCCGAGATCCCTAGCCGATTTGCCTTCTTCTCTCTGCCTTTCTGAAGCTTCTTTTGTCAGATTTACATATAACATCTAGGCTTTTAAGCTGTACTTAGTGGGAAAAATACATCTAGTCCTTCATTTTTACATAAGGTTCCCGCAAAGAATGACTTGCCTCGATGTCTAGATAACTTGCATGTTTCGTTTTGGGCTTTGCGGCCATCAGAAGCAATACGGGGGTGTGTGGTGTGTGGTGTGTGTGGTGTGTGTTTGTGTGATGTGTGTTTGTGTGGTGTGTGTGTGTTAGTGTGTGTGTGTGTGGTATGTGTGGTGTGTGTTTATGTGGTACGTGTGGTGTGTGTGTGGTGTGTGTGGTGTGTGTGGTGTGCATGGCGTGTGTGTTGTGTGTGTGGTGTGCATGGTGTGCGTGGTGTGTGGTGTGTGTGGTGAGTGGTGTGTGTGTGGTGTGTATGGTGTGTGTGTGGTGTGTGTGGTGTGTGTGTGGTGTGATGAGTGGTATGTGTGTGTGTGAGTGTGTGTGTGTGTGGTGAGTGGTGTGTGTGTGTGTGGAGTGGTGTGTGTGTGTGGTGAGCGGTGTGTTTGTGTGGTGAGTGGTGTGTGTGTGTGATGTGTGTGGTGTGTGTGTGTGAGTGTGTGTGTGTGTGTGGTGAGTGGTGTGTGTGTGGTGAGTCGTGTTTGTTGTGTGGTGTGTGTGGTGTGCATTGTGTGTGGTGTGTGTGTGGTGTGCGTTGTGTGTGTGGTGTGCGTTGTGTGTGGTGTGTGTGTGGTGAGTGGTGTGTGTGCGTATGGTGTGTGTGATGAGTGGTGTGTGTGGTGTGTGTGTGGTGAGTGGTATGTGTGGTATGTGTGTGTGTGGTGTGTGTGGTGAGTGGTATGTGTGTGTGTGGTGTGTGGTGTGTGTGTGTGGTGTGTGTGTGGTGAGTGGTGTGTGTGTGTGTGGTGAGTGGTGTGTGTGTGTGTGGTGAGTGGTGTGTGTGTGTGCGGTGAATTGTGTGCGTTGTGTGTGGTGTGTGTGTGTGGTGTGTTCGTGGTGTGTCCTGAAGGCCACCATTCGTAGGGGTCCCACTCATTTCCTGTGTGGTGAGTGGTGTGTGTGTTTGTGGTGTGCGTTGTATATGGTGTGCGTTGTGTGTGGTGTGTGTGTGTGTGTGTGTTGTGTGGTGTGTGTGTGTGGAGCGGTGTGTGTGTGTGGTGTGTGTTTATATTACCGGCAGGGGCCTCTGAAGCTGGCACCGCTGAGCCGTCCTCTGACCCCTTTGGGTGAACATGTGCCGTTTCAGCTCGTGTTCTACAGGCAGCTCGCCTGGGCGGTGCTAAGCGCAGAATGACAGACTCTATGACCCTCAGGGCCCAGGAGGCCAGTGCCCGCTGGCCTCGGGCCGCCTGCCCCAACGTCGGAGCGAGAGAGCCTCGAGTTTTGATCCAACTTACGCTGTCACTGATGTCGTCGACCTCCAGCATGTCGGCAGGCTCGTTCACTAAGCTGTCCAGCGCGTCGGCGGGCTCGTTCACTATGCTGTCCAGCAAGCCCTCTCCAGAGCCAGGCTTTACGGCTGTCAATTCTGGAAGGCACGGCAAGAGGAACCGGAACAGCAAAGAAAAACAGAAAAAGGAGATCGATTTATGGCATTTTAAACAAAAACACATACATCGTCAACAGGACTTTAAATAAATGCATCAAATTATCTAATATTCAATTTGGGGATATTAATGAAATAGGAAAGAAAGGGTCAGTTTCAGGGCAAGTCAGTGTGTGTACCTGGTGGCCGTTGAAGGTTCATCTGACGAAGTGACCTTTCAGTGAGTCCTAAATGAGGAAAGGGAGCAAGGGAAGAAGCGGGCAGACGGCTCGGGGAGAGGCTGGAGGCGCCAAGGCCCTGAGGTGCGGGGGAGTGGGTGGTGGCTGGCGCATTTGACAAACTGCAAGGTGCACAGCATGCCTGGGGCGGAGGAGGGTCAGGGATGCGGGGCAGGACGGGGCCAGCTCGCCAAGGTCCTTGCAGACTGCGGGAAGGAGGACTTCAGGTTTTATTCTGCAAAGGATTTATTCTGAGTGTGATTTTCTCGTGGTAATCCCGAGAAATATTCCTATCTCCTGTTGGTTTGGTCAAAAATTGCCAATTTCAGAATTGCATGTGGCTCATATTTGCTAATGAAAATGGAAGAGACAACTCCCCCCTCCCGCCTCCCCACAAGCCAGGGATTTAAAAAAGTCTTATCGGAGGTGGTGGATGCCTCTGAGAGCGCCGAGCCCCCACCATGCTGAGGTACAACAGAGCACCCCACATGACGGTCTGTAGGATGGGGCTGGCCCATTTCAGGGCTTTGGTGTGCGGGGTGATGCATGCGAGTTGGGATTCTCCCTTGTCCTTCCCCTTCACAGGGAGGGTCCAACTAACTTAGTCTTAATAAAAATGTAATAAGTCCTGAAGGCCACCATTCGTAGGGGTCCCACTCATTCCCTAGCAGGGTGCCATCGGAGAGCCCCGGCCCCAGCCAAGCCCTGCTGCCCAGACCCGGGGCGCCTGGCAACCGCCCGCCCGCTCTTTCAACGTGGGAGCCCCACACCCGAGCTCGGTCCTGTCCTGGTCACACCGAAGACCCTCTCTCCATTTCTGGTTCTACCCCCGCTTCCAAAAAGGACAGGGACACCCCCAGGTCCCGGGGCTGTGTGCTCCGCGTGTTCCCAGGCCCGCTCTAGGACTTAGTACAGCCTGGACCAGCAGGGCACCCGCCCAGCTGGGACACCGTCCCCAGCCCCGACGCCGTGGGCAGCAGGGGTCCTTGGACGTCTTACGTGGGACTCACCCTCATTCTCCTCTCCTGGCATTTCAGTGATGACATATACTGAAAAACAGTAGGGAAAATCATTAATAGAATGAGATACAGTGGACTAGTCCAGACCTTTGGGTCTCTGAGGGGATCGATTTAAAGTCACCTGCTAAACGATGAGGGAGACCAGAGTAGAGATCACGTGAGCTGGGAGGAGACGCTTCCATGAGCCGTAGCGGTCTGCGGCCCGTAGCTCATGCTCCACGAACGTTTAGCCCTCCATGTTCGCGGTTCACCTCGCCCACCAGTGTTTAAGCCCTGAGAGGCCGTGGCGGGTTTGCCCATCTTTCTCTGTACACTCACTGCACAGTAAGTGTCCCAGGATGCTCCGACCATGGACGGCCCATTCCTCACCTGCCCTCCTGACTCCCATCGTGAATATTACTTCCCTTTCGAAATTCAATTTTAATTCAAATTGAAAAGCACTCTGCCCCTCCTGGGCTTACTTTCTTACCTGAGCCCCGACCCTTGACCCCAAGCCCTAGAAGGAATGCCTTGGCCTCTGGCCTCACGTAATGCTGCCTCAGTCCATGATGGTCCAGAGTGCGCCCCCCCAGTCAGGGGCATGATAACCCTGGGCTTCTTACCTTCTCGTGGATGGGTCTGTAACTTCTGCGAGTCATTGAAAATCATCATAAAATAATAAAATTACGATACCTTCCGAATCCAAATGCGAGTACATCGTTGAGCTTTCTGGCTCCATTTCTAGTTCCGGCTTTAAAGGTGCTGTTAGAAGACAGTAGATGGCGGCCATTAATGCTTTTAACCTCACACTTTCCAGTGGGTTTATATGGGGCATTTAGGATCCGAGGTTCTTTCCTGGCATGCCGAACGCCCCTCTGCCCACCTCCCCTTCTCTGGGACTGCGATGAACAGTGGTCAGGAAAGGTAGCCCCTTTGTGGCCAGCTCCTCTGGTCACCACGGTGCCAGTCAGGGGCCCCAGGATGGATAGCATGGTGGCCTTTGGGGCACCTGAGAGATCGTCTTCCTCCTGTAGGGTGGATAACCGTTGAACCACAGAGCCAAGTGGCTCCAAGGCCATGTAGACGTGTAATGGGGTACGCACATCACTGCAGGAAGCAGGTGTTTCTGGGGTTCCTGCTCCCCAAGATGTGTGTCACGGGGGCCGGCTGGGGAACACAGGGCTGTCTGGCGTAGGTGCGCCAGGATGCGCCACGGGAGGTGGCTGCAGCATTTGAGAACTTTTTACAGTTCTTGGTGACCCTTACGTTGTGTCTTCTGGAGTTTGTGGTCCCCACTCCTTTTTGCCTTCCTCATCCCCACTCCTCACTCTTCCTTCTCCCCCCACTCCTCCCTCTTCCTACTCCTAAACACAAGTGTGCACGCGCTTGCGTGGACACACACACACACACACACACACACACACACACACACACACCCTAGGTTCCAGCACAGAGCAGCAGGCCCGTGGTGACCGAGCAGAGGCGGCCTGCTCCACTGCTCCATCTCTCATGGGGGCGTCAGGCCTTGACGGGTCTGCGGTGCCTGGACCAGGAGCCCTGCCCACGTGCAGCGCCTGTGCCCACCAGTCCTTCCGCTGAGACCGAGCCCTGTACGGACAGGGACTGCCCCAGCTTAAGGAAACTCGTTCCGCTGTGCCTCAGCTCCGGCCGTTAGGAACAATTTCTTTCTCTTCACACGTTTTGCTGAAGCTAGTGCCAGGCTCGCCCCTCACAGCGGTGGAGAGGTCAGGTCTCCGTGTCACGTGGCACGTCATCGGACACTCGAAGGCCGTTATCCGGGCGCAGAGTCACCCACCACCTCCTTCGCTTCAACCGTCTCTGGGTCCGTCCGAGCCCGCCGTCCCCTCCAAGGCCCCGCCATCTGCTTCTAGCCCTCGTGGAGGGTGGGGGCTCTCGGAATGAACAGCTGTCCCTGGGCTGGCCCCCCAGCGCAGGCTACGGTAGGACTGAGCCTGCGTTCTGGAAGCTTCTACATTTGGTTATGTGGACTTTTCTGGCAGTGGCCTCGGTGATGCTGTGGACTTGGGGAGCTTGTGGCCGAGTCAACATCTACAACCAGCACGGCTCCCCGCCTTGTGCTTCTCCATCCTTTTGCGTCTGGGGGCCCGGGAACAGCATCTGATGTGAGCGGCCATTCTATTCCATCCCGCGACGTCTGGTCCCATGTTCCTGCCTGTCAGACTCTTTTGCTTACATTATTCCCATCGGCCGACAGCTTCAGGTCAAGTGCAAATGTAAATCGTCCTCCTACATCTGTATCCAAGTCATGCTGGACAGAGCCCTGCGGCGCCCCCCGGAGAATGGCCTGACCTTGACCCTTACGCGGGGTCTCCAGGTGGTTTTTTAATAGTTACCGCTCCGTCATCTCACGCTGGCATCCACCTGGTATGTGTCTCATTTGCAGGTACATCAGGAAGGCTTCAGGAAGGAGACGCATTGTGGAACTTGGGCCTACTGGGCCACCCCCGGTCCCTGATCTAATCACTTTGTCAAAGCCTGACCTAAAAGCCAGTATCACTCACATTGTTCCCGTTACACCTGTGCTGATGTCTGGTGGTCATTTCGCTTCCAGTATTTGCTCCAGATTCATTCCAGACTCATTCCCCCACTTTCCCACAATTCCTTAAAAACCAGCAACACGATTAAGCTATTCTCTCTCTCTATTCTGGGGTGTATTTGATCTAAGTCGGTGTCTAGATAAGTGTCTTCCCATCTTCCTACAACCTTTGCTTTCTGTTCCTTCTCGGCCCATTTTGTTGTACCCTTTTCAACCTGAAGACCATTTGCCTTCGCAGCGAAGTCGAAACTAAGTAGCAATGGAAGGACATGACTTTCTCTGAATTATTCCTCAGCGTTGCCCTGAACAGCGGCCCGTCTGCCCAGACCTTTTGGCCTGTCTTATTTTAAAAGGGCCCCTTCTGTAGCTGCCGCCTGCAGTTTATGGTTCTCGTTACTGCCACGACAATTTCCTTTAGGTAAGAATAAGTTTGTCCTGGGCGTCAAGTCCCCTGAGACTATTCCTAAAGTTCGAGCTATTTCCCTACATGTATCGTTGGTAGCATCCTTGTATTTTTAACCTCTCTGCACGTGACCTGTCAAAACCCGAGTCGGCCGAGGGGAACTCTGAGCAAACGCTAGTTTGCGCTTGGGGAGCTTACTAACTCTGCTCTCCATCTGATGGGGAGGCCGGAAGTCAATCGCTCCAGAGAAAGCTCGTCCCTCCTTCCGCTCACCCTCATCCACGTTCCCGCCCGTGCAGCGCCTGTCTGTGCACGTTTTTCTGTACGCGGCCCCCTTCCCACCACGGCTGGTTTGGGGAGCAGGGTACACGCTCCCATCACCACGCCTGCCCGCGAATCAGATGAAGATTCAACAGCAGTTTCACAGGTATCGAGAGCTATTCACAGGTGCTGACCGTGTGCCAGGCAGTAAGTCTCGAGGATTTCTATGAGCGCGGATGGGGCGCTGTGCATTAGAGCGTCTCGCGTCTTTGTTCACGACCCTGCTGTGTGCCTGGATGGGGAGACACGTGAGGCCATATGCAGTCTTTCTGGCCTCCTTCGGAACGCTTCCCCAGGCGGGGCACCAGGCCTCAGCATTCCCTGTGCACCAGCCCGGCCAGTCTCTGTAGTAACAGGTTTCAAGGACTTATCTGGGTGTTTTCCCTCCATATTTGATTCAAAGTCTAACGTGTCGAGAAGGGCTTTGCCACGTCAAATGCTGTTTCTGGCCCACTGGGGCTCAA